GGGGGAGATCTAATCAATCTCCGGAAGGGGAAGATTTGGCAAAGAACTGTACGAGTCCGACCCATGCTGATTAAATGCAGGCGCCAAGGAACCTGCATATAAGGAGGTGCAAAGCATGCTATCTCTAAGGTTCGGTAAAGCAGTGTTGAGCGATGCGATCTATCTGTGAGGTTCGGTGTTATTCAATTTCTGAGAATCTGTATTTCTGTATTTTCTGCATTTCTATGACTTTACATAAAATCTTCTAAACGCTGGAGGTAAGCGAGTTCTGTTACCTTATGAGTTTTGTGTTATTTTGGCAGTTACTTGTGGTTCCTTATTTCCCTTTTCTGTGCCAATCATATCGTGTAATTCAGTGTCTCTCTCTCTTTCAGTTATAGTTCTTTGCTCCGTTTCGAGTTTTGTCTAAATCCGGTCTAAGAATATCTCTCTTCAATAAAATATTAATAAGTGAGAACTCCTCGCGTTTAAAATATTGCAAAGAGGATCCTTCAGATCAAAGCAGTAAAGAAAGTCAATTTAGTAGCAATTAGTAGCAATAAACCCTAATATGCTGACTAAAAACGAATCAATCAATAAACTTTACTCACCGTTACAAGCAAAGCTACAAAGTCGTCAGTCGTGCTTACAGCAAAGAGAAAGACCTTAAGATTATATTACGTACAGTATAAGCCCCAGCAGCTTAAGCCAACAATATACAATAAATAAAAAAGACAATTCAAGACATCAGAGTCAAACGTCAGTTTATAGGAAAAGCAATTTTATAAAAATTCGCTACCACAATCTGCGTACTTCAAAAAACACTATAGACACAGTAAAACAAACATCATTTCACCACAGACATGTATAGTACACAACCCATACTTCTAGAAAGATTTCTTAGAAAAAGCAATTTAGAGCTAGAAAACAAAGTTAAGGCACAAAATTAGAGATCAGTTGCAAAACACCATGAAAAATTTTTGGTGCCGTCCGACTTTTCCTATTAAATGGATCAAGATAGTAATTAATTATATCCCTCATCTGTACCAAACTTCTGAAAAACACGATACTTTTAAACATCACGAATTATACAGATAAATTAAATAAGGAATTGTAAAAACAGGTTTTCACTATAAGAACAAACCTGGAAGATGTAAATGTATCCTGAAGTGCTAGACCTCTCCACAACAGAACTTTCAGAAACCTGCTGCACTTTGTCGTCGTCACAGTAAAACCAAATATCACTTCTTTGATTCCAAGTATCGCATACATAATGTCCTAAAAGCCATCATGAAAGAATTTCAATTCTTTATCCATGTCACACAGGAAGAACTAAGCTAAATTTAAAACAGATTAAACTTTACTGGAAATAAGGACGTAAATGAGTAGGTTTTGCTCTTATTAGTTATATAGCCTTCTTATAAAACACTAGTCTACCAGGTTTAAATCCAAACAATTCCCTTCTCGTTGTTAAAGCTGAGTTGGAGAAATAGCAGCAATGCTCAACAAAAAAAGAAAGAAATTCCACAGAAGATTTGAGGAATGTGCAAAAGCCACTTTCTTCGTTCCAACCAAGTTGTGATAAACGCAGCCGATTAGTATGCCCTGTCTCCCTACACAATTTTTGATCATTGCAGCTGAATCAGTTAAAATACATTAAGTCCTGATTCAGAGAGTGCAGATTACCCCGCTCTGTTAAGTGCGGACCTAAGAAACAAGTGTAACCAAGTTCTTGCCTGTTGCTTTTTGCCAAGAACCCCCCTAGATTGCATTTCCAAGTACTTAGCAAGCAAGTAAACTGATGTATATCTTATCTCGCATATAAAAGTGAGTGCAGCATCTCAAAATAAATCAATACAGTGAACGCCAAGGCCATGTAAAAAGAAAGTAGCAAGAGATTTCAAAAAATAAATAAATAAATAAAATGTAGAAACATAAGGTCATCTCAAAATATTCAAATGTAAAACAAAAAATTACATAAAATATTACGAAGACAGTTTCGTTAACAAATTTGACCAAAGTAATGTTGAAAGCAGTAATACAGCGTTATCCTTTTCAAATTTGAATAAGCGTAATAATTCAATCCTGCTGTTTTACTGAACTTTACCTATATATAATAGCGAAATTCCTACAGTTAAATACAGCCTAAAACGCTCAATGATTTGTCTCCCGCTGAGAAAGTGAACTGATTTCAATGATAGATTTAGATTTTCATAATTTAGAGGCATGACTAAAAAAACCTGAAGCACCCATATTTTAAGTAGAAAAACACTCGAAAGTCTGCATAAATATTCAGGCACTAATACAACAACAAAGTTCCCAAGACACGTAAGTCAGATTTAAAAAGAATATTTGCAATTTGAAAATCATACCGCCACCAGCAGACGCTCCAATGTGACTGACGATGGAGACTAGGCGATAACTAACTGAACGATTACTCTAAAATCTCTTTCTTTTTTCACGATAATAAACTAGGATTATTAAGATTCACAAAGATTACTATGACATCAATAACTGGGTCGTAGTGCTCTCTGTCATTAACCAAATAGATCGAGTCCCTCACCGCATCAGTACCGCTTTTTACGGCACCATCTAGAAGCGAGTAGAGTCGCAAAAATAAATAACTGTAAGTCCAGAAACAAAGCCTTCATTAATGCCCAACTATATACTATAAGACTGGACGAAAATAAAGCACCAATTATTTTGCCTCCTTCACCAACTGTAAACCTCGGTCGGTACACCAACCAACGTCCCCGATAAAATGTCCAGACATCGGCATCCAGCATAGTAGCGACAGCATGTAACTCCTTATCCGAGCCCCATACTCCTTCAGTTGAGATGTCTTCCACATAATTGTTCCATTCAGAAAGAGACATACCATATAACAGACGGAACTTATCTCCATATTTCTTTTGAAATGTAGCGATCTTAAATTGATAAAACAGCAAAAAGTTTCAGCGTGTAATATATCTATAAGCAAAATATTTAATGAATGCAAATTTGGATTTCACGGCTCATTCAAGTCCAGCAATCAGCATACTTTGACTTAAAGTAATGTTATAAAACTGAAAGCGAAGTCAAATTAAAGTACTCGTGCTCGCACGGCAGTATGAAACCGTTCATTGCCTCCCGTTACATAAAAAGAAAGAGCTCGAAACAAACAATTCCCATCGGCAATAACACTATATGTATAAGCAGGAGGACAAGTCCTATGAACCCATACCGCTTCTCCTCTAAAATACTGAGCTTTAACCTCTGACTTGAAACCTTTGAGCTCATGGAAGTGATTTTCTAAGAAAACCAGAGCGAAAAAAGCTCAGAAAAACAATTTATACAAAACTTTAGACAACACGAACTCATTATCAAAAACATTTTTCTTCGCAGGTTTCAAACCAAGTAAAGCACAAGCTCGTTTTCGGAAGGCGTCAGTTGGAATACGTGCTGGCAATAACTCAGTATCCTTGTCGCCAATCTGTGAGGTATTAAAAAATAAATTTTTAAATGATGCACAGTAAGTAATTTAAAAAACTAACTTACTACTTCTACACAGTTATCGTCTTCTTCATCTGAAAGCTCTTCACTTCCGCTATATGACGAACCTTGTTGAGCTAATTTGCAAGGGGACTCCATTTTTGATTTTTTTAAATCAGAGAGACTGTGTTTCGCATCAACGTTGCCTTTTCTTTTCTGACTTTTCGCATCTGGATTTACAGTACGACTTTCCAAAACTGACGATGATAAAGTTCTGCGAATCGTGTCATGTTTCTTCCCCCCAAAATCTTCACCATATAAAGCCGTAAGTTGAGGCTTTTCTGGAACTACCGCCCCTATACAAGTCCGAATTTTTTGTCTTGCGCAATGTTGGCTACAAGCAGATAAGCGGCTTAGTGCGTGGCTTTGTCTTATTTTGAGGACCAATGTGCACCCTACGCTTCCGTGCCATTTGTATTCCTGGTCTGTGCTTTTGTCATAACCATAACGATTTAAAACCACTATTAGTAACCTGAATAAAAATATTATCAAACGTGTGACCAGAAGAGCAGTTAGATGTATATTTAGTTAGAAAAACCAAACAAAATGCCTCAAGTTATTCCAAATACTTTTCTTCCTTCCAGTCACCTCCAAATACCTATCAAAACCTCATAAAACGAACGAACACTATCCATTACTTTGGAAAGGAATCAAAGCACTGTACAAGCTCTGCGCTGCTCATACCACAGGATTCACAGCTATACTGAAACTTTTCGTTAGACAAAACGTTCTCCACTAGTGATTGTAGAGTAATGCCATCCTCTGAGTAATCTCCTCCACTAAAAAATAATAAACCTGTTAGAAAAAAGCCATAATCATTCCTGATAAAAAGATTAGACTGCTGCCTGTTTAAAATGTTCTTTACCGTAATTTCTCCTGTAGCTGAAAAATAAAAGTTTAATACAAATAGTAAGAAAACTCGTTCTGCTGTTAAAAACGCAAATTTCACTACTACAAAAGCAGTAATTTGAAAATTTTTCAAAAAAAAAAA